GCTGCCCCAGCTCTCTGCTGTCTCTTCGCCACTCCCTCTAGACACTTGCACCTGCTAAGTGCTGCCCCTCCACCCCAGTACTTCAGTCAACGGTCAACTCCTGGGCAGTGTCCACAGGCCTCCCTAGCTGGGCCCTGCTGCCTCACTGGCTCATCTGTCACTGAACCCCACCCTGCACACATGTGCATGCTCACACACACGGTTGCTTGGGGCTGCCCATTCCCTTGGCTTCTCCACCAAAGCTATCCGACTGTCCTTCCTTTCCTGTCAGGACACGGCGGCAGAGGCACTTGGGAGTTACAGCCAGATCTGGGGACAGACACTCCCTAGCCCTGTGAGGCCAGCCCTTCCTTGAGTACAGTGGTGTTAGGAGGGATGATGCCAAGGCTGCCCACAGCCTTAACTGAGTAAAGTGTTATCTTCTTTGCCTGGAGAATCCCAACTTGCCCTGTAAAATAGCAACTCAAGTGTCACCTCCTCACTCAGGCGCTCACCTCACTCAAATGCACTTGTCTAACCCCAACCAGGTCTCGCCCACAGCCTGAGTTCCTCCAGAGCAGGGATCCAGTCTGGTAGCTGTTGGGTCCCTGGTCCTCCAGTCCCTAGTAGGGTCCTGGCTTGGGTTGAGAAGTGACAGCAGCACCCTCTGCCCTCCTCCAGCAAGCTCCGGGCCTCACTCACTGACCCTGGGCAACTGAAGACCCTGACGGGGGACTGGTTCCAGGAGGCACGCTCCCAGCGGCACCAGCATGCCCACTTTGGCCCTGACCTTGTCCGTGCCTCTATCCGCAGGAAGAAGAGTCCAAGAGGTGAGGGGAGATCCCCCTGTCCTGGGAGGGATAGGAGTACAGGGCAAGCCTGGCCACAGACAGGGAGGGTATCCTGGCCACCACGCTGCCTGGCCCTGAGCCTGTGTCTCTGGGCAGGCACTGCCTCTCGGGCTCTGGGTGGGTGGGTGCCCTGAACTCCAGGCAGCACCTCCCCACCAAGGCCCTGAGAATAGGGACTCATGGAACTTCACACCAGCTCCAAGGCACCAGGCTCTGGGCAGTGATGGAGACCCCAAGGATACTGGGAAAGAGACTGGAGAAGAGCCAGTGGCCAGGTAAGGAGCCATGGGCAGGAGTGGGAGAAGGTGTCTGCCAGTCCCTGCCCCTCCCCCTGAGTGCTGCCTCTGCTTACTCCCAGCACCCCTAAAGCCACGGTCCCTGTGGGGAGACTCAGCGAGACCCAGGATGAGGTGAGGGGGTGTGTGCCTGGGCTGCTGGGGACCAGATGCTGTGTGGGCCTCAGCTGGGTCCTTGGTGGGACCTCTGGATCTGGCTGTCCTGAGCCCACCTCCCACCCCACCCCTGGTAGGGGCAGGGCCTGGGACTGAGTTCTCCTGCCCCCACCTGGGAACCAGGCTGGCTGGGGCAGGCTTAGGCAGGCCCAACTGGTCCTGCAGCTGGTTACCAGCCCTGCCTTGAAGCGGGGCAGCTCTAAACCTTAAAACTGGTACCTGGCTGAAGCCTCTGACAGCTGACCCTAGTGTGACCTTTGACCCCTCCTCACAAGCCCCCTCCACGGCCTCTACCCCTTGCCCTCTTCAGGCACTGGATGTATGCTCTCCATCTGCCCCAGCTGAAGCCTCCAATTTGGAGGCACCAGGACCGCATGAAGGTGAGTGGGTGCCTATGTTAGGGGCACAGAGAGACTGTGGACCCCAATTGGCTGTGGCACCTTCCTCCTCCCGCCTGGAGGGTGGTGAAGTGGACCCAGTGGCCCAAGGCAGTCCTGGCTGGTCCCGAACCTGCGGACCACCAGCCCCTCCCTATGGGCTCAGGCTGGTAGGAGGGGGCGCACTCAGCAGCTCCGATCCACCCGGGTGCAGGGGACTTGCAGATCCACTCCCAGGAGGCGGACCCGGAGCCGGAGCCTGCGGTGGCGTCGTGGGCAGAGCCGGAGCCACAGCCCTCGGCGGCCCAGGTAGGCGGGAGAGGCCGGTGGCGACTCGCAAGACCCGGAGCGGACTCTGGGTGGAGCGGCGTGCGCCTGTCCCGTCGGTGGCCCAGCGCGATGAAGAGGGGGAAGGGCGAGCAAAGAGGGGGCGCCCCAGTCATTTGCGCGCTGTCCAGACCGAGGCTGCATCCAAGAACCTGGAAAACGGGGAAGAGGTCCCGGGGCCCAGCCCCTCCCTCAACCGCATGCTCAGCTGCAGCTCCTCCGTGTCCAGCCTCAGCTCCTGCACGGTGAGCGAGGCCGGGAGGGAGGTCGCGGGTGGCGAGGTCGCCGAGCCCCGCGCCCCGAGCCCCTGTCCGTGACCCTGCACAGCCCTCGCCTGAACCCCGCCTCGCCCCGGAGTCCAGTGCCCCCAGGCCCGCCCACCCCCTCGAGGCGCTGTGTGCGGCCTCGCTCGCTCTATCCTACAAGGCGAGGTGCCCCCGCGGCCCCGACGGGCGGGAGGCCGCGTCCACCGGTCCTCACTCCTACCCCTACCCGCCGGCAGCTGAGCGGCAGCCAGATAAGCCTGACCGGGGAAACCGAGGCGGGCGCCGTGCAGGTGTGCGGCTCCCTGCACTTCGCGCTGCGCTATGAGCCCGACACCGCCGAGCTGCGGGTGCAGGTGATCCAATGCCAGGGCCTGGCCGCGGCCCGCCGCCACCGCTCCGACCCGTGAGTGCCCAGCTCGACCAAGTTGAGGGGACTAGGGGGCAAAGGCTCCCAGGGCAGCTCTCGAGGCTGAGTACCAGAAGGCCCTGGCCTCACCACGCATCCTCCCCTCTCCCGCCCCAGCTATGTGAAAAGCTACCTCCTCCCCGATAAGCAGAGCAAGCGCAAGACGGCAGTGAAGAAACGGAACCTGAATCCCATCTTCAACGAGACGCTGCGGGTGAGGGCTGCTTCGACGGGGCGTTTCCAGTCCCCAACAGGATGCAGGGGCAGCCAGTTTCCTCCGCTCTGCGGGGGAGTGGCCGGGAGGAACCCTCACCCCACCATCGCTGGTCCCCTGACTCTGTGCTTTGGTCCTGTCGCAGCCGCACGGCAGGTGTCCCATGCCCCTCCGGCTTCCTAAGATGCCCTTCCCAGCATGCGGGAGGATGTGGACTCCCGTCCCCGTAGGGTCTGCCCACTAAAGTGCTCCTCCTGTCCCCAGTACTCCGTCCCGCAGGCCGAGCTCCACGGCCGGGTGCTGAGCCTCTCTGTGTGGCACCGTGAAAGCTTGGGTCGCAACATCTTTCTGGGCGAAGTGGAAGTGCCCCTGGACACATGGAACTGGGACTCGGAGCCCACCTGGCTCCCTCTGCAGCCACGGGTGAGGCATCCATGCCCAAGCGCGGAAACCCATCTGCCGCCTGCCTTCCGTGGAGGCCTGCTGGGGGATGCTGGGTTCTTCGGTTCCTCCTCTGGAGGCCCTGCCCCCACACCACACCCCCTCTGGAGACTCCACTGCCTTGCGGCTCCTTGGACCGCCCCCTGACGAGCCCACCTCCCACAGGTCCCACCCTCTCCCGACGAGCTTCCCAGTCGCGGGCTGCTCTCCCTGTCCCTCAAGTACGTCCCCGCTGGCTCTGAGGGTGAGTGAGTGACCACCCCACGCGAGGTCACCCCGGGCGGGCCGAGGAGGCGGGAGACCCTGGCTCCCCTAGGCAGTGGACCTGAACCCTGAACCGAGCCTCTCTGCAGGTGCGGGCCAGCCTCCTAGTGGGGAGCTGCACTTCTGGGTGAAGGAGGCCCAGGGCCTCGTGCCGCTGCGCGCCGGATCCCTGGATACTTATGTGCAATGGTGAGGGCCGCAGCAACAGTCCAAGAACCCCTATTTAGTCACCTCTCGGGGGGACCTAGCCTGGGCTGTGAACCCAGAGCTCCTCCATAGAGACCCCAAAGGTGAGGCTATGGTGCTTGGCTCTGAACTTGTAGTTCAAAGTAAGTTCTACAAGACCTCTAGGGCTCACACTGGGATGTGAGATGAAGGTAGGCCAGTTGGGTCCTGGGTTCCACCAAGGACTTTACAGATAGGGTTATGAAGCTTTGAAAACTTCCATCCCCACACTGTGGGGAAGAGGGGAGGGGGAGGAACCAGTGCAGGGAAAGGGTGGCAGAGCTCCCCTGCAGGCACAGGAGCACAGGGGGCTGCCCAGAGGAGGTGGACATTGGGAGGCAGTGAACCTAGGAGGACAGCCAGAGCCAAGGTCCCAGGGCTCCAAGGGTTTGAAACCAGGTCTCAAGCAGGAACCAGGGGACGCAGACATGTGGGAGGGACAACGGGTGGCACTTTTGGCGGGATGGTTCTAGAAAATGTGAGGGTGGTCACCTGGTGGTGCCCCCTCACCCACAGCTCAGTGCTGCCTGATGACAGCCGGGCCAGCCGCCAGCGCACCAGGGTGGTGCGTCGCAGCCTCAGCCCCGTGTTCAACCACACCATGGTTTACGACGGCTTCGGGCCTGCCGACCTGCGCCAGGCCTGCGCTGAACTCTCACTCTGGGACCACGGGACCCTGGGCAGCCGCCAGCTGGGGGGCACACGCCTCAGCCTGGGCACTGGTGAGACCAGCAGGGCCTCAGTCACTTCTCTTGCCCATCCCTGAGCTTTGGTGGCCCCTGAGATCTGGCGGGGGTGGGGTGGGGTGTCATGGGGCTTGAGAGCATCTGAGACCAGGCAGGTGTCTCTTGGGGTCTGAGCTATGCAGCATGCCCATCTCTCCCTCTCCTTCTGGCACCTGCAGGCAGTAGCTATGGGCTCCAGGTGCCCTGGATGGACTCCACGCCTGAGGAGAAGCAGCTGTGGCAGGCCCTGCTGGAGCGGCCCTGTGAGTGGGTCAATGGCCTGCTTCCCCTCAGAACCAACCTGGTCCCCAGGACATAGCCCTACCCAGCCTTGGTCCACACAGCAGGACCTGCCCTTGACCGAAATCAATAAACTGTGTTCTGAGGGCAGGAACAGGCTGCACTGTGCCAGGGTACAAAGGGGAATGGGACACATGGGGTGGGGGGGAGTTAGAGGGAAGTGAGAGGGACCAGCTTCAGGGGCTTCGGCCTTAGACACAAAGACCTCCGCCCAACGCACACGTGCCCCTCCCAAGCTGCCAAGACAAGGGTACAAAAAGAGTTCTGTTTAATAGTCATTGGTCCCTCACAGAACACACGGGGAGGAGGTGCCTCTGATTAGTTCACATACACCACCCTACAGCACCAAGGCCTGAGTCCTGCCTGACCCTCACCCACCCTCAGCTGCCCAGACCCCAGGGCACAAGTGTTAGAAGCTGCCTGTGTGGTCTTCATGCGTCCATCCATGGTCCCTCCTGTTTCGGATGCTCTCACTCAGCCTCCCGGGTTCCGGGTGTCCCTGACATGGATCCTGCTCGCTGGGCCAGAATGGCTCTCCAGATGCGGCAGACCATCCCTCCCCTGGAGGTAAAGGTTGCATGTAGCTTGGCCTGAGGGTCCTGGGCTCTTTGTAGTCCCCACCTGTCTTCCCCTGAACCCCCTCTGTCCCCAAGGGCCCTACAGTTTTCAGGGCCAGCAACTGGGAGTCAGGATGTGTGGCTCAGCCTAGGGGGCCGGGGCTGTACCTGATGCGGGTGTAGATGAGGTCATCTCGCGTGGCACAGGTCAGCAGGGTGTGGAGGGTGAAGCTGTGCTTCAGCAGCTGGTAGTGGACAAAACCCCACAGACACAGGAAAAGGTAAAATGACACAAAAGATCCAGAAAGACAAAAGATAGCAAATGCTGGCAAGGCTGTGTCGAAAGAGGAACTCAGGTATACGCTGGTTAGGAATGTAAGTTAGGACAGCCCTAACAACCTAGAGCTGGAATACCACAGCCATGATTCAGCAGCCCCACTGTGTGGTCCGCAGAAGTTCATAGTCAGGTGGGATGGGGAGGATGGGGGGACACTGTAGCATCGCTGTCACTTGGGGCACCTACATCTCATCTGTGTGCTGGCTGAAGTCCTGCCCCTCCACCAGTCCCCGACACCTCAGAGCCAGCTGCCTGCTGAAGTGCCTGGAGCAGCGATGCTGCTGCTGGGTCCTTGGGTCCTGCCTCCCACAACGGAGACTTGGCATCAGCCTGGCCAATTCAAGCCGCTGTATCTGGGGAGCAAACCAGTGGATGGAAGACTGACCTCTCCATCTCTTCCTGTCACTCCAACTTACAAATACATAAATAAATCTTTTTAAAAAGGCTTAAAAGATAAATTTGTTTTGGTCCAAAATCTTTTTGAAATCTATGCAGAAGAAAGGTTTTCTGAAAGTTCACAGAAAATACATGTGCTGCTAGGCCCAGTGCCATGGCCTAGCAGCTAAAGTCCTCGCCTTGCTTACGCCAGGATCCCTTATGGGCACCGGTTGTAATCCCAGTGGCCCTGCTTCCCATTCAGCTCCCTGCTTGTGGCCTGGGAAAGCAGTGGAGGACAGCCTAAAGCCTTGGGACCCCTACGCCTGTGTGGGAGACCTGGAAAAGGATCTGGGCTCCTGGCTCCAGATTGGCACAGCACTGGCTGTTATGGTCACTTAGGGAGTGAGTCATTGGATAGAAGATATTTCTCTTTGTCCTCCTCTATGTATATACTCTGACTTTGCAACAAAAATAAATAAATCTTAAAAAAAAATAAAGAGGAAAAGAAAATGCATGTTATGAAAAACCTGTAGGGCCCAGCATGATGGCTCAATTGGCTAATCCTTGCAATTGCTGGGATCCTATACGGGTGCTGGTTCATGCCCCAGCTGTTCCACTTCCCACTCAGCTCCCTGTTTGTGGCCTAGGAAAGCAGTAAATGATGGCCCAAAGCCTTGGGACCCTGCACCTGTGTGGGAGACCAGAAAGAGATTCCTGGCTCCTGACTTTAGAGATCAGTTCAGCACCAGCCATTGTGACCATTTGGGAAGTGAACCAGTGAATGGAAGATGTTTCGCTCTGTCTCCTTCTCTCTGTAAATCTTCCTTTCCAATAAAAATAAATCTTTAATATAAAAAAGAAAAAAAACCTGTGCAAAGATTTCAAAACATTTTGCAACCAAAATGAACATATCTTTTTCATTCCATCTTCCTTACACTTTGAAGTGACCTTGTATACCTCAAGGAACAGAGATGAGCCTGCCGGCAAGACATGTGTCTTCTTGCTTACAGCAGCACTGCCTGTGAGTCGGGCTATGGAATCAGCCCTGTGTGCCCCAGTGGATGGAGAGAAAACGTGGTGCATACACACAAGGGAACATTATTCCATGGTCAAGAAGCAGGCACTTCTGTCATTTACTGTCCTTATCATCCAGTCTGTAGCATGGATGGAACTGGATGACATCATGAGTGAGATAGGCCATGCATAGTGACAGCACATGGCCTCGCTAAAGCTGAACTCAGAGAAGTAGAGGCCAGAGCAGTGTCTGCCAAAGCCTGGAGGGCGTGGGGTGGAGGGCGATGGAAAGAGGACCTTGATGTGCACCTGGGGAGGGGGAGTAACTGCCAATCCAGCTCACAGTTGGATAATGACGATGACAACAATTAATTGCATATTTCAATATAGCTAATTCAAAAGTGAGCAGTGTGTGCGGCAATACATGTGCCAAGTACCTGGTCATTATACATTGCGTAGACTGAAACGGCTCACTGTACCTGAGAAATAGAAAATAAACACAGACGGCCGTGTCCACACAGAGAGTAGGACACTGCTCCACTTGACCAGCAACGTGCTGGAGGCAAGGATGGGTGCGGTGACACAGTGGTTTAGAGTGCCTGACTGGAGGCAGGTTGGCTGCTCCAGCCTCCAGTCCAGCTTCCTGGGAATGCACACGGTAGCAGCAGATGATGCTTGCGGTCCTGACTTCTGGCTTTTGTCTGGTCTAGCCCTGGCTGTTGCAGACATTTGGGCAGTCAACCAGGGGATAGAAGATTGTGTGTGTGTGTGTGTGTGTGTGTGTGCGCGTGTGTGTGTGTGAGAGAGTGCTTTGTGAATAAATAAACTTAAGAAAAAAAAAAGCTTGAGGCAGCTCGCATCCTTTCTGGGTTTCAGTGTTTCCATCTGCACAATGGGACAGTATACTAAATATTCTTCTAGTATCAACATTTTTCTTCTGAAAGATGGACAGAAATTGAAGGTTTTGGGGGGGTGGGAGGGCAGGGAGAGCCAGCATTCTCCTTACCATTTGGATGGTGTCAGAATCCACGCGCAGTTCCTGGAGCCACTGGACCAGGTTCTGGTCTTCAGGGGTAGCAGCTGTCAAGAAGTCAGGCAATGAGGCTCTAGCGAGGAGAGCCTCCCATTAGAGAGCAGCCTCCACCTGCTGCCCCAGCCAGACACCGCTCACCTGGGGGCTCTGAAGTCAGCATGCGGGTGCTGGCCTCATCCATCTGCTGTAGGGCCCGCTGCATCAGGCTCTGGCACTCCCGTTCTTTCTTGGCCAGAATGTCGCGGAGCCTGTTGGAGGGGGAGAGAGGGGAATGGAGTGGTGGCTGAGGCCAGCGGTAAAGCCCATTCTCAGGCAGCGTGCGACCCTCCGTGATTTCACCTGTCTGTCTCAGCCTGCAGGAGATCCAGTTGTGCCATCAGAGTTGGGGGCTCCTCCTTGGGTTCTCCCGCGGGCGGGCTCAGATGGACCACGGTCTCCTGCTCCTGCTGTGGGGACTCGCCTTCTGGACCCAGCTCCTCTGATCTCAGTGTCACCGTGTCCTTCTCCACCTCTGCAACCAGAACTGGGTGAGCTCAGGTGGGGTGAGATGTTCCCCAGCCAACCCCACCCCGCCTCCTCACACCTGCTGCCCATGCCCCCAGGGTCATACCCTCACTGGACGCCTGCGGTCCCTGCTCCCTGCTCCCACTGGCACCTGGGACCAGCACGGCCAAGGCGGCCCTGACAGCGCGGCTGAGCAGTGAATCCAGCACGAACATCCAGTGCGGGCGGATCCGGCGCCTGCGGAGGATCTCCTTCACCTGGGGAGAGAAGGAAGGTGCGGCTGGGTCCCCTGAGCCTAAGACAAAAGTGTAAAAGTCTAGAACAGCGTAGAAAACGTAGGAAACAAGTGGGTTTAGTTGGGGCCCAGCAAAGGGCTGGGAAGCTAGGACAGGGCAGACAACCCCATCTTCATGCAGAAGACAAGGAATCCAGGACCCCCAAGGCCTAGCACATGCCCAGGCACTGGGAGCTCGTGGCCTGCTGTTGGGTACTGTAGCTGTGAGAAGGCACCCTCACCGCATCCGGGAAGGCGAAGAGAGGGCCGTGCAGTTGGGTAGGCCCCAGGCCCTGGGCCTGCAGCTGCTCTTGCAGGGCCCGCAGCTCCTGGGCCAGCTGCCGGCGGTTGGGCGTGTGGATGTGTGCCCCGAGGCAGCGCACCAGCTGCTCCACGTGCAACCTGTCCAGACGGGAATCCTGAGAAGAAACGAAGGGATCAGCAGGTGTTGGCACCTGAGCCCCAGAGATGCTGGGAGCTGGAGGAAAGGCCATCAGTGCGAGGCCTGTCCACGCACGACCACCAGGGGGCGGTGGGGCGGGCCGCCCACCTGCTCTGGTTCCCCGCACAAATTCTCGGCCAGCTCAGGCAGTTCCTGCTCCAGCACCGCGGCCAACATGGCCCGGCGCTCGCTCTCCTGGTGCAGCAGGTTCAGCCCCGAGCTCTCCTCTGAGGACGTGGATTCCTCGGCCCCAGGCTCCTCGGGCACTCTGGGCACAATGGAGAGCGGTGGCTGAAAGGTGGGCGGCAGCACCATCCAGCCACATCTGTCCCAGGGTTTGAATCCTGGCTCTTTTACTTGTATGCCTACTTCAGAGGAATTAAAAAAAGACCAGCCTTGCACTGAGGGGACACAGTGGGAGTAAAAGTTCCTGAGAGAGGGCACAGGTAGACACCAAATGCCACTCTTGTAAGTGACCCAGATGCCCAGGCTCTTAGGAGGGCTTTATCTGGAAGGAGTATGAAGGCAAAAACAGACCAAGAGGACCCTAGGTTCTCACCGGAGCTGGCTGGTGCCCCCATAACTAAGGCAGCGCTTCGGGGGGCTGGCAGAGCCCTGAGGGGGTGTCTGAGGACTTGGAAAGGTCTGGGCCTGGGTGGCGGAGTCAGCCGAGGGAGTGGGACTGGCTGCAGGGACTCCTGAGGGAGGGAAGGAAGGGCAGGGCTGTCAGCTCGGCTCCTCCTCAGCCCTCTCCCCTCCCCCCTCCTCCCTACGGCACCTGAAGGCCGGGGAACATGTTGTGGGGAACTGGGGCTGCGACTCCTCTTGCCAGGCTGCAGGAAAGGGTCCCCCAGCAGGGCCTGGGCACTGGCTCGGAGGCGGGGGTCTGGCTCGAAAGTTCGAAGGAGGAAGGTTTGAGCCTCAGCGGAAAGAGAGGCGGGCATTGGCGGGTGCACCTTGTACATGCCCACCTGGGGGTGGGGAGCGAACAAGGGTCAAGGTCAAAGGTGTTCATGGCCCAGGCTGGCCCTGCCACCTCCACCTGCCAAGCCGTGGAAAAGGGCTCTCACCTGAAACATGGCAGCCTGTGGGCTTCCCAGCTCATGGAAAGGGGGGTAACCTGTGGCCATCTCGATTACAGTGCAACCTAATGACCAGATGTCAGCTGCCTTCCCATAGCCTCGTGGGCCCTGGTCAATGATCTCTGGGGCCATGTACTGAAGGGTCCCTAGGGTAGGAGAAAGAAAGCAATGGCCATCTAGACTCGACCATAGGAAAGCAGGACTCCATCCTGTAGTGGCTGCCTGAACCAATCATCTAAAACAGCACCCAGCGCCACCCCTGGCTGCTGACATCCATCCTGAATTTTGTTGCCCACCCTAGTTTCCATCAACACCCCCTTCCCCCACCCCCTCCCTGGAACTGCCTCTCCTGCTATCCCCTTTGACACCTGGTTTGGCTCACACCAACACACCTGGGCTGCATTTCAGGGGCTAAACTCAATGTCATCCATTGCCTGAGCTCTATTTTGAAATGCCATCACTTCACTCCAGTCCAATCACCTGCTCTGAGTTCCACACCCCCTTTCCCCATTAGGACTCCAACCCCACACAGGACACTTCACTCCCTGGTACCTCCAAGAGGCCCTCTGCTCCCCACCTGCACGTGTCATAGCCACCCTGTCACCTGTGAAGGTCCCGGCGCAAGGAGTGATGCCTGCCAGCCGCTTGGATGTGCCAAAGTCCGAGATCTTGAGCAGTCCACTGAAGGTGTTGATCAGCACGTTGTCTCCCTGGTCAGTGAGGACACCAAGCTGGGTCCCTGACAGCAGTTCTAGAGCCCCATCTTGGTTCCTTGGTGCCTGGGAACCCCCAGCCTGGCCCTTCTTCCCTAAGCCTTCTCCTGCCATGCCACTTACATGCCCCTCTGGGAACAGGCATCTGAGCTGCTTTTGGCTCTGAGCCTCTTCCCTCTCGTGACCCTCGTCATCCTTTGGCAAATCATCTGCCCACGGGATGGGAGTTGCAAGCTTGTGGATGGGACTCAGCCCTGCTCCAGCAAGCCTAGGTTGGACGCGACTTGGCACGCGGCTCACCTTGATGTCTCGGTGTACGATGTGGTTGTCGTGCAGATAGCTGAGTCCCTGCAGGATCTGGCGGGTGTAGAAGCTGATCGTGCTCTCGTTGTCCTTCAGAGCTCCCCACACCGACCGCAGCAAGGAGGACAGGCTGCCTGGGCAGATGCAGTTCACTCCTGCCTTTGGAGGCCCACTTACGCCACCCAGTCTCTATCCAGGGATCAGACGCACCCACGCAGGGCCCAGACTCCATCACCCAACAGCCGCCACTCCCTCCGCTAAATCTGGGCTGCTCCACCCACACACGCTAGGCTTCCTTTGCTCCTGGGGGTTCTCCACCCGCGGAGTTCCACACCTTCCATTTCGTTCCCATCCCACACAGGCAGATACCTCCGGGCACCTCCTCCATGAAGATCTTGAGGTAGCCGCCTTGGCTGGCAGAACCCAGATAGCGCACGATGTTCTTGTGGCGGAGGCGTTTGTGTAGTGCTATCTCCTCGTGCAAGGGCTGAGAGAACCTGGCAGGAGGTGGAGCAGAGAGATAAAGAGGTTCGCGCAGCTTCGGGCTGGCGGGAAGGCTTCGCCAAACCCAATACCGGCCGCATTCTGACCCCAGGACCCCACCACGTCCACAAGCCGCCACCCTCGTCCCTGCCATCACCCCACCACATCCAGACCCCTGCTGTCCACAGCAGGAGGTCTTCGGAGCCCTCCCACCCTCGCCGCCGTCCACCTCCAGGCACCGCCTTGCTGCACGCCAGCCCCGCCCACCCGGGCGCCCTGCCTGCATGCCCGGCGTTCACCGCACCTGCTGTCCCGTTCGGGAATCTCCTTGATGGCGATGCGTACCCGAGTGTGGCGCTCGCGGCCGGCGTACACCACCCCGTAGGTGCCCTTGCCCAGCACCAGTCGCTCGCCGGTTTCTGTGTACTCATAGTCAAACTGGGAACCGCAGGATGACAATGGGGTTCAGCGGGGCACACAGCCTTCGCCCTTCTGCAGCCCTCAGTCCCGCGACCTCACCTCCAGCACCTCCCCCACGCCCTCTGCCTCCTCTGCCGGGGCCGTGGAATCCGAGTTGGTTACCAAGGCTTGGATCAGGCCGCAGAACCTGAGGGCACGGGGAGGTCAGGTCTGAGGCAGAGCCGTACCTGACTTCTTCTGGCCCCCTCCACACCCTCCACCCTGCCAGGAGCATTCTCAGAGGATACGCACCACTGGCAGTGCCCCACGCTGGGGAAGCAGAGCTGTGTGTCCTGAGCAGGGGGCAGCGCGTAGAGGAAGCAGCAGCGCTCATCCTGCTTGGAGGCGCTGCGAAGGAACAGGACAAGGAAACCCAGTGAGCGCCAGGCCTGACCTGCAGCACCAGGACTGACCAACTGACAAGCAGCACCCTCCCCACCCCTGCCCCTGGGCCCTGCCTCTCACCTGACCCCACAGATGGAGGCCACAGGAAAGGTCCAGCTGGCTTCGCCACCCTGCCAGAGATGGAGAGTTTGATGGAAGATGCTGGAGCTGGGATAAGATAGAAGAGGTGCAGAGAGGGGAACAGGGGAGTAGGGGCTCAGCAGGGACCTCACCTGGGTCTTGGGCTCTAGCAGGCTCAGGGTCACAGCATCTACCAACTCCTCCCCTTGAACCTGCAGCCTGGCCGGCAGTAGCACCTTGTTCATTTCCACCACCAGCACCTGTGGGCAGTGTGGGTCAGAGATCAGCCAGGAGGGGCTTGGTTCCATCCTGGACCTCCCCTCCTTCCCCTACACTGCCTCCACCTCCCGCCCCCAGCAGCCTCACCAAGCTCTGGCTTCCCTGAGGCGAGGCGGTTAGGAAAGGTTGGCAGGACTGCAGCAGGAAGTGGAGCCAGAAGTGAGCCTGCCGCAGCGGGCCCCCAGGGGGATCGGGCATGGGCCTGAAGTGCTGGTAGAGCAAGAAGGTCTCCATCACCGACACCAGGTACCTGCAGGCACAGTCTTTGCCTCAGCTCATGCCTGGCACCAGCCAGCACTGCTGGGGAGAGCATACTGACTGGAATATGCCAGAAGGTGGGTGTTGGGGTGCTACAGGCACAAAGCTGAAGCTACCAGGTCCTGGCCTTTGGGTTCAGGCTGGAATGCCAAGGTATAGGGGTTGACAGCCCAAGGCCAGGCCAGGCACCTCTGGATGAGGCCACCTACCAGATGGGGGCGTTGAGTTTGTAGAGCTGCTCGGCAGCCAGTGCCACCTGGTTGGAGTCGTTGGCGAGGATCTGGGCCCCCAGGTAGAAACCTACATCCCAGTAGTACTGCATCTTCTCCACGCAGCCCTTGCGGGCCAGCAGGCAGCCCAGCTTCATGCCTGGGGAATGGAGGCGTGAGCTCCATTGAGAGTGGGTGCGGTAGAAGGGGAGGTTCTGGGTATGTAACACTTTTCACATGATTGGGAAGTGAAAGTGTGGCGGGATCTCGGGAAGGCGCACAGAGCAGTGATGGGCTCCGGCTGATGTGTAGCTCGGTGTGCACTGAGCACAGGTGCCGCTTAAGCAGGGCTCCTGAGGGCCCAGATCAGATCTGAGGAAGGACCTGGCAGCAGGTGGGGGCAGAGTGCAGTCAGAAGGGATGGACTCGTCCTAGCTCCGGCCCTGTGTTCTTTCCAGGCCCCCCTCTGCCTCCCCATGGTGGGAGCTAAGGAGCTGAGACCCGGGCTTACCAATGAGCTGCAGCTCCTCTGAATCCTCAAAGTGCTGGCCGGCGGCAATGAGGAGCACAGCGGCATTGATGCCCGAATGGAGACTCGGCTCCACATCAAAAGCCTTGCGGTACCTGGCAGTGCACAAGTGCCAGCCGTGGGCTCACAGCCTGCTCCTCAGCCCTCTGGCCCGGCCCACCGCCTGCGTGTCTGCCTCCTCACCAGTGGTAGGCCTGCTCCAGGTACTTGATGTCCTGGAAACCAGAGCTGAAGAACATGTCCTTGTAGACACGGCCACACATGCAGTACAGATCTGGCGCCACCGAGCCCTCGAGGCGCACCAGCGGCAGCAGCACAGCCAGGGCCTTCTCCCGGTCCCCAGGCCTGTTCCTCCTGCAACAGGGTGGAGTGGGGCTGTAGGGATGTGGCTGATGGCTCTCCCTGACTCTGCCCAGGAACCTCTGGACCGCAAACAGCGACGACTCTTCTGGGACTCCATATAACAGTGATGTGGTCAGCATTGACCTCCCCGGTTGATAGTAACTCCTGGTTGCACTGCTTCTAGGGGCGGTGGCCTTGGGCAGCTGTGACCCAACAAGTGCAGTGCCACCTCCCCTGTGCCTGCCAGCAACAGTGGCTCAGAACAACAAGGATGTTCTGATATCCGTGCATCAACCAGCTCTCTGCACAGCAGGGCTTCCATGCCACCCTTGGCCCAGCACGTGGCCCTGACCCCAGCCCTGCTCCAGCACTCACCGGTTGAGGGCAAAAGTGTAGTGGAAGCAGATGTTGTGCTGCTCGGCCACATCACAGGTGGGCAAAGCCTGCAGCGTCTCTACCAGCTCGATCATGGCAGTGTAGTCCTGGGTAAGGGAGCAGGAGCGCTGGCGGGATGGATTTGGGCTCTGGGAAAACCTTGGGTTGAGGTCCTGCCTCCCCTGACACCTCCTCCCCCTGTAACGCATACATACACACACACACTTGCCTAGGCCCCAGTCTCTGTGCCATCTGCCAGGGTCAGGAAGCAGAGCCCCACACCTGGTGTCCCACATCTCACACCTGCACTCCCCTTACTACAAACAAGGAAACAGGCCCAGGGAGGTTAGATGGCTTTCTCATGGCCACCAGCAGCAGAGCCGGGAGCCCGGTGGCATCTCTGGCACCTGCACGTCGCGGTAGGACAGCAGCAGGTTCATGATGATGTCGGGGCTCAGCAGCTCCACACTGTCCAGCCTCTGCTGCAGGCGAGCCAGCTCCTGTCGTAGCTGCTGCCCACTGAAGCGCTCCCGGGCTTGCCGGATGTCCTGCCGAATGGTCTCCCGGAAGTAGCCACTGAAGCCCAGGACAGGAGAGGGAGAGAGAGCATGGAGGGGCCTGGTCTCAACCCACTGAACCCTCACCATCCTCTGCCAGGTGCCTCTTCCCTGAGCACCCCATTACCAAGAGTCTGTCGGGGTGGCCTCCAGCAGGCGAGCCAGCCGGCTCACCAGGGGGGTGAGCAGGGCCTCAGTGCCCATCCCCGCCTGGACCAGCCCATCAGCCAGGCCCCTCAGGAGGCCTGCCTCACCGCACAGCACCCGACCTGTCGCCGTCACCACATAGGGGATCAGTGTGTAGCTGCCAGCGCAGTCCTGGGAGGTGGGAAGCAGATATCAATGGGGTCAGAGGTCAGTACTGGTGTAGAGAGGGGGCTATGACAGGGTCAGAGGTCAGTGCCAGGGTAGGGGTGGGGGTAAAATGGAAGGAAAAAGGCACACTTGGAGAAAGGTGCCAACAGAGGGGTCCATGATGGCAGGGAGCTCAGGGGCGTCAGAGGTACCTGCAGAGGTCAGGGGGCAGGGGACATATAGAGGGGAAGAGTAGGGTCTGCTCACCGCATTCTTCTGGAAAACATCTTCCTGCAGGAGACACATACAGTCATCCCATGCTCTGGTGCCCCCCTTCCCATCCCCTCATCCCTGAGACCACCTACACGCAGAGCCTGCAGGTCTGGGAGGTCGGCCTGGGAGCAGAGCAGCACGTTGTTGGTCATACTGAAGCTCTCCCGCACGCCAAGGTGGTAGAACAACGAGGGCTGGGCCAGGGAACTGCTCACCTCCAGCACCACCACATCTGCAGCACACGGTACAGGTGCAGGCCCTGAGCCCAGGAGCCCAGCATGGCGGGGGAAGGGGGTACACCAGCTGGGGCCTCAGTTTCCCCCTCCTAGGGTCCTTGGGCTTTTTGCCATAACTGACATCTGCCGTGTTGGAGAAGAGTAGTTGGGTTCACTGGGCTACGGCCCTGATGCTCACACTGGGCACAGGGGAGGGGAGACTGCACTCCACCTCTGACCCTGTTCCCAAGTCATCTGGCAGGCAGGACTCTACCCTGGGATCTCAAACTGATGTCTGGAAAGGGGGCCTGCACCATCCTGCCAGCCTGTGTGTGTACACAGCTCATGCCCTCCCACCCAGATGGGCAAGGACCCTTCACGTGAGGCTGCGATTTCATAGACATCCCGGAACCACGGTTGGCTAACTCTGGGATGTCCATGTCCAGACAGGTGGGAGAGAGAGGGAGCAGCCGCCTTCTGGCCCCGCCTGTTCTCTCGCAGCTGCTGAGTCTATCTTAGGAGCCACAAAAGCCAATTCCTCCGGTTCAGCCCCTGGCCCTAGTCCGAGATTTCCTTTCCATGTCCTAATTACAACTTCCCTTCCGGGATTCAGCCTCGCGAGCTCCGCGTGCGCCAGGCCCTGCAGCCCCGCCCCCAGGGCCACAGTCCCGCCCCTCTTCCCGCCCCGCGGCCGTCGAGCCACGCCCATCACCCGCCCTGCGACCAGGCCCCGCCCCAAGCCCTTCGGCTTTAGTTTAATCCTAAACTCCACTCCTATCGTGGCCCCGCCCCGCGGTCACCAAGCCACGCTCCCAGGCCCTCTGCCACCGCGGATCCCGGGCCCGCCCTGCGTCCAGACCAGGCCCCAGGCCCGTCGTGACCCCGCCCCACAGTCTCCGAGCCACGCCCCCACCAACCCGCCCCCAGCCACTTTGCTGCCGCGGATCTCGGGCCCACCTTGCCTCCAGGCCCCGCCCCGCGGGCGCCAGGCCACGCCCCCACCAGCCTCTGGCGCCGCGGATCCCGGGCCCACCCTGCGTCAGGCCACACCCCAAGCCCGTCGTGGCCCCGCCCCACAGTGGCCGAGCCACGCCCTCACCAGCCCTCCCGGCCCCGCCCCCGGCGCGCGCTCACCCGCGTTGTAGAAGGAGTCGAGCGCGGCGGTGTCGCCCAGCGCCAGCGTCCCGAAGGGCAGGCTGCGCAACTGCGACGGTGGCCGCGGTCCCGGGAGCTGCGAGCAGGCCTCGCGCAGGCAGCGCAGGGGCAGCGGCTCCGCGTCCGAGGCTCCGGCTCCAGACCCGGCCTCGGGCTGCGGCTCGCGGGTCAGCACGTAGACCACTCGGAGCGGCCGGCTCCGGGAGCAGCCCCGACCCTGGGGCCCCGTGAGCGGCCGGCCCCGACTCAGAGCCTCGGCCAGCGGATCCTGCCAGCAGCTGCCGGCGCGCTCCAGGGGCCCGGACCGGGGGCGCGGCCCCGCCATGTGGGGGACGCCGAGAGCTGAGGAAACCTCGGCGCGGCCCGAGTTCTGGAGGCCGGCCAGATGCCAGGTTCTGCCAATCTGGAGTCGGGGGGGGGTGGGGGCAAATGTCAGCCCAGACTTGCCAAGTCCTGCAGATCTGATACCCAGGGAAGTCCGAGGTACCCGGTGACCGGCGATCCCGGGAATCGGTCGGGCCGAGACCGCCACTCCTCAGGGGAGCACCGCCGTCGCTCTGTCTTGCCTTCACATGTGGGCCGGCCCAGCCCTTTTCCCGGCCGCCTGGGAAAGCTCCACCCTCGGCCCTGGGGCAGCGCCTCTCCCTGAAGACTAGGGATGCGTTCTCTCGCCTCCCTCCTGAACTTATGAGACCGGCCACTTCCGGACAGCCAGTGTGCCCTGTGCGCGCCTGCTGTACGCCAACTGGGGTGGCGTGCCCAGGCCTGGGAGTTTGCAGGCATTCCCCTGCTGGGCTCCTGGAGGAGAGCTGGCTGTGCAGGGCAGGGTGCACAGTGGGTGTGCTGCAGGGCCCGCAGGTGCAGGTGGGAAGGGACTGGAGTGTGGGGGAGGCCTGTTTTCCAACCCTGGGCCTCAGCAAGGAATGGGACTTTGGCTCTGGGCCAGAGTCTGTCCTCTGACCAGGGGGACTCCTACTGCCCTCTAACTTTTCCCTAGAACATATCTCACAATCACAACTTAATCTGCTTGGAAGAACCCCATGACCGTTTGAGCTGCAACAGTGTCCCAACCTCCAGCCCTCCAACTGTCTGGTGTAAATTGGTAACCAAGGCAACCTGGTGTAGACCTTAGTGGTCCCTAAAACCAAGAACTGGGAACTTCAAGAGACGAAGTGGCTTGTGCCAGATTGCTCAGGTGCAGGATCATTTCTGCCACCACCTGTTACCAGCACACACATGGCTTTGGGCAAATCACTTGCTTGGTCGATGCGGCTGTGGTGACTGCTGTTTTATGCCCCAGCTGCTTCTTGACAGATCTAGTTTGACCCAAGGTTCAAACTGGCCCCAGGCAGGCCAGGTAAACAGCAGAAGGTGAGAACTTGGCCTGCCATGGAGGCTGGGACAGGGGACGTAGGGATGGGCAGACAGCTTACAAGAGACAAGTGTGAATGGCAGGAAGGGCAAAAGAGCTGTGCGGTTCCTACCAGAAAGCCACCTGCTTGCGGACCCTGGGAGTGTATGTTCAAACTCCAGCCAGTCTCTCCCTGGGAGGCCCTGCTGGCTTGGCCTTGCACACCTTCAGGGGCAAACCCCTGGTGGCTCCCTGGGAGCTGTGTTGCTTCTCCCAACTTCCAGGAAGTTCTTGCTGAAGGGGAGCTGGCAGGCCTGGGGTAATGGCTCAGTGGCTAAATCCTCACCTTGCAACCGCTGGGATCCCATATGGGTGCCAGTTCATGTCCTGGCTGCTCCACTTCTCATCTAGCTCCCTGCTTGTGGCCTGGGAAAGCAGTAGAGGATGGCCTAAGGCCTTGGGACTCTATACCCATATAGGAAACCTGGAAGAAGCTCCTGGCTTCGGATTGGCTCAGCTTTGGCCATTGTTGGTCCCTTGGGGAGTGAACCAACAGAGGGAAGATTTTTGTATCTCTTTCTCTCTGTAAATCTACCTCTCCAATAAAAATAAACTTAAAACAACAAAAACAAAAAAGAAGAGCTGGCACTTGGGTCCTTGTCCTACCCTGGAGGGTTTGTTCCAGTAACTAGAAGAGCCAGGAAAGCATGTAAATGATTTATTGTTAATTGTGGACAGGGATGCAGTGGCAGTTGGCAGTGAGGAGGTGGCGAAGGAAGCTGCCTGGGAGAGATAAGGGCACTGGCTGCAGGGGGTGGTGGTGGCGGTTCAGGCAGCACCAACTCAGTGCTGTGGCAGGGGGCTCACCCTTTAGCCAGAGCCCAGGCCAGCCGATGGCGCACCTGCAGGCCGCGATCTCAGCCACAGCCAGGTGCCTACTGAGATCAGATTGTTAGCAGAGTCATAGCGCCAGGCACCAGGGACAGGCGGGGCACAACTGCCCCCAGCATGAGTCATGGTCAGCATCATTGTAGCTGGAAGCTCAGGAAGTGTGCCCCAGGCTGGGCAGGCTGGGCAGGCATGACGGTGCCCAGCACCCCAGTTATCTCATGGGATCTCAAAGTCACTGGAAGAGGTGGCTGTTGATGGGCCCACCAGGGAAGGGCAGTGCCAAGCTGCAGGTGGGACTTGACTTGACACTCTCTGATTTCAGAGCCACCAGCAGGCCTTGGTGGCACCTTCAGAATTCATAGCTTCTCTGCAGCTCTTCCCAATTCGTGTCAGCACCCGCCCCCAGCACCCAGCACCCAGCACCCAGCACATGGTCCACCACAGAGAGCTGGGCGGACTTTGCGGGTGGCTGAGCAGGAAGGAATTGCCAACACTACTTCCCTCTTTCAGCCCTTCTCCCCAACCGTCTCTGGGCTCTGCGCTGGTTTTGCTCACAAACTAGAGTGCAGATGTTCGGAGGGTGGCACACACAGCCATGCTGCCACCCACCCATCCTGTTGTGCAGGAATGCAAGGCTCCCACGAGGACGGTCATGTGCTTGGCAAATTTCACATCTGCCCTATCCACAGGATGGCTGTCGCTCAGAGGCAAAAAAACCAGGTGGCCATTGAGGAAGGGAACACCCCCAGTCATTGTTGGAGGCAGTGGCTGTGCTGAGCCGGAGCCTTCCCTGTAGATCCAGTACCCGCAGTGCCCTGTGCCAGCTTCCACAGGCAGGTGGTAGGACACGCAGCGGACAAAGGTGTAGCTGCCACTGATGTCCCAGATCTGCTAGTGGCTGGGTACCTGGGAGGAAGAGACAGGCAAGCGTGACCAGGGGAGGGATTGGGCACCAAAGAAAACACCTATTATGTCCCCTGGCCTCAGCTAGGACTATGACCAGGAAAGTAAGCTGGTGGAAATTCTCATTCCCAGGCCAGACTCCTGCCGTCTAAAGCTTGATATAGAAGAAATCCACAGGACACTGTTGGCCTCTGTGGGACATCTGGGGAGGCAGGGGCTGGCCCCTGGCTGTTACTCCAGTTAGACACAGAGAAGCCAAGCAGATGACAGCACTGTTCTGTAAGCGAGGAGCAGGTTCTTACCCCTCCTCGGATCAAGGGCATGTAGAAAAAAAGTATGATCCCTTCAAATGAACACAGCCTGATGTTGTGGCATAGTAGGGTAAAGCAGCAGGTATCCATATGGGTGCTGGTTCAAGATCTGGCTGCTCCGCTTCAGATCCAGCTCCCTCTTAATGCACCTGAGAAAGCAGCAAGTGCTTGGGCCCCTGCACCTATGTGGGAGACCTGGTTGAAGCTTTGGGTTCCTGGCTGCAGCCTGGCACAGTCTCAGCTGTTGTGACCAACTCCTGTATACCAGCAGATGGAAGATCTCTGTCGTTTCTCCCTCTCACAGTAACTCTGCTTGTCAAATAAAAATAAAACCTAAAATAATAAACATAAGGGCCTGGTATGACAGCACAGTGGCTAAATCCTCTCCTTACATCTGCCAGAATTCCATATGGGCACTGGTTTGTATCTCTTCCAGCTCCCTGCTTGTGGCCTGGGAAAGCAGTCGAGGACGGCCCAAAGCCTTGGGACCCTGCACCCGTGTGGGAGACCCAGAAGAAATTCCTGACTCAGGGCTTTGGATTGGCTCAGCTCTGGCCATTATAGCCACTTGAGGAGTGAACAGCAGACAGAAGATCTTTCTCTCTGTATCTCCTTCTTTTTGTAAATCTGCCTTTCCAAATAAAATGAGGTAAAACAAAATAAAACAAATCTTCAAAAAGCAAACAAAAACCACAAGTGGAGCAGCCAACACTCACCTGGAATGTCTATCACAGGTTGCACCAGAACATGAGCCCCGCTCCCCTGCTGCCAAGTCTCCCCGGCTCCCTGTTGTCTTCCACTCTCCTCAGCCAGGCCAGCCATCAACTATCCTCACAGCCAACTGTAGTTGACAATGCAACTGCTCTCAGCTCACTCACAGGGTGCCCCCAGGCCCTGCTGTATTCTGCCTTTTTGAGTTTTTCTTTCCCTTCCATATTGCATCTGTCTAGGGAACTTCTACCCAGCCAGCAGGGTCCTTCCTAACATCACCTCTTCTGTGAAGCCCACCTCAGTGAAGGCCTTCAGGGATGCCTTGCTCTAATGGGCTCTGGCTCCCCCTAGGGCCAAGAGGGAGAAGTGACCACAGGTCCCATCTACATCTCTTTTTTTATATATGTACTTATCTTTCAATTCCATTTTCCACACATTTTTTTTTAGATTTATTTAATTTTTATTGGAAAGTCAGATATACAGGAAGGAGGAGAGACAGAGAAGAAGATCTTTTGTCCCCAAATGGCCACAACAGCCGGAGCTGAGCCAATCCAAAGCCAAGATCCAAGAGCTTCTTCTGGGTCTCCCACACGGGTGCAGGGTTCCAAGGCTTTGGGCCATCATGTACTGCTTTCCAGACTACAATCAGGGAGCTGGATGGGAAGCAGAACTTCTGGGATTAGAACCAGAGCTTACATGGGATCCCAGAGCATTCAAGGTGAGGACTTTAGCTGCTAGGCTACCATGCCAGGCCCAGAGCTCCATTTCTGATCTGGTTCCCTGCTATTGACGTGAGAAGGCATTGGAAAGGGCCCATGCACTCACACAGAAGACCTAGCAGAAGTTCCTGGTTCTTGGCGTTGGTTTGGCTCAGTTCTGGCCATTGAAGCCATTTAGCAAGTGAACCAATGGATGGAAAATTTCTTTTACTCTGTCTTTCTCCTTCTCTCTCTGTAAATCTGCCATTAGAATTTAAAAAAATTGAATCTTGAAAACAAAACAAAACAAAACAAAACAGCTATAGGCAACTGCCTAGGTTGCCTTGTACCTAGGTGAATGTTACACTTCCAGGAGGAGAGCAGCCAGTGACTGGCAGGCATTCTGGACCTGGTTAATGCCAAATCTCTGTTAACTATGCCAGTGTGCCAGCGCAGCTGCTTATTCCTGCTTCCTTTTTTTTTTCTTTCATTTCCTTTTCTCTCTTTCTTCTTTCCTTCCTTCCTTTTCCCTCTCTCTCTCCTTCTCTCTCTTTTTCTCTCTTTCTTTCAGCATAATTGGGACGGAGGGTGACGCAATGGCTCTACAGGCTGATCTTCCACCTCCAAGCACCAGCATCCTATACGGACGCCAGTTTGTGTCCCAGCTGCTCCACTTCCC